GCATCTCATGATCAGATGCTGCAAGATTCGTCCGCATTTTCAGCCGTGGCACGTGATCTGACCGGACCAGTGTCTCTCGTCCGCCTCATCCAGCCATCAAGTACTCGTTCAGGTCGAATTAGTCGGTTGAACTTCCTCTATAAAAGGTAGCTTCGTTCCGCTCATTCATACCGTTTCTAAATCATCATCTTCATTCCTAGGACAGGAAACAAGCTCGGGACCTTGCCTGCAAACACAACTGTTCAACCTGCATATTCCTCAAAGCAGCATCAAACCTTTAAACTTTAGTTTCTTGCGAAAAAAATGGCTCCTCTCGTTTGGATGATCACAGGTAGCACGTCAGGCATCGGCGCTGCGCTTGTTAATCAGATCATTGCCCGGGGCGACAAGGTCATCGCTTCCGGGCGCAAGACGGAAGAACGTCTGGGCCACTTAAAGTCCAATAATGTCGCCCTCTTGGATCTAGACATTACTTCCGAATGGCCAGAAATCAAGGCCAAGATGGAAAAGGCCTGGGAGACGTTTGGACATATCGACGTCCTGGTCAACAACGCTGGTACCTCGTCTCTAAAGAGTGCCGAAGACGCAGAGTACGTTCTACATACTACATCACTGATTACACCCACTCATTGAATGCTCAAGCAACTGACACTGTCTTCCAAAAGTGAGGCCTTCATAAACCAAATGTTCCAAGTCAATGTGTTTGGCCACATGCAAGTCACACGTGCGATTCTTCCATTCTTTCGCACCCAGGGACACGGCCGGATCGGCTTTACTTCCTCTGCCAGTGAATGGGGCCCGATACCGTTCATGTCGCATTACGCAGCATCTAAAGCAGCCCTGAGCACATACGTGGAGAGTCTGCACAAGGAACTGCGACCGCTTGGCATCGAGTGTGTGAGCTTCGCTTGTGGGGGGTTCCCGACAAACCTCGGCCAGCCACGAGACAGTGGCACGGCAGCTTTTGGAAGTGAAGGAAGCTTGATCCAAGCATATCAGCCCCTGATGGCAGAGATTGCGGGTATGATGATGGAAGACCCCATGGCTTTTATGCCGGGGGACTTGGTTAAGTTGTCTACTGTCTTGGTGAACATCCTCAGCAAGGAGGGTCTTGAAGCGAAGCTCCCATGGTCTGTGAACATTGCCTTGGGGTCTGATGCATTTTTCATGGGCAAGAAAAGGATTGAGGAGCACATGATTCAATTGGAAAGTTGGAAAGATGTTAGTTGCAGCACGGACCGCCAACCGGGCACTTACACGATCAAGAAGCGCTATTCGGAGTTGATATCATTGCCAGAGGAGTAAAGCTGGGAACCCTAACCCAGCGATAATATTTTTGATAGGTTTACTTCATTTGAGATCTTGTCCTAGGTGTAAGAAGTACCCTCTAAATATTCCTGTATGCCAGAATTATGACGTTCACAGGGAGGAACATCCTTGTAGAAGATCTGCATTTCACTCTTTAGCCCAAGGACAGTTCCGCCCCGCGAATCCCAATCTAATCATATGTCACCACCCACGCCAAAGAAATGAAGCTTCTTTATTTAGTAATCTCGCCTAGTGACCAGGCCACTATTGTTTGTTTGGTACTCTGTAGTACAGATGAATTCCAAAGTGCTTCCTCAAATATAATAAATACCCATCGCATCAGTCAAGAACGGGCAGGTTCACATGGTATCATATCAAGCATCCAAATGACAGAATCAAGGTAGGATACAATGTAGCGCCTGGGGTTAACGTTTCCCCATTCAGTAAGTCGTGCTCTAGACTCATGAAGCTGAAAACTATTCTTGGTAGACTGAAACGCTAGCGCCCCCGGGCCACATAGACCATCTTCCTTTAATGGGGTGCTCGTCAATGAAAATGATGCGACAGCCAGTGCTGACGAACAGAGCTCATTAACTACTGTATTTATTAAACTCAACATAGCCCTTCTAGAAGAATGGCTTGACTGTCTATACAAATCGGAGATTCCCCACCATGAGGCTCGACCTAGTGCTTGATAATATTCTCTGCGCTGTGGCGCTCCTGTCGGGCACCGACGCGGCGGCAGTCTGTCCCCGCGCGTCAAAAGGATGCGGACAGGCTCACACATTCATTGGAGAATCTCGGGAGTTCACATTTGAGAGCGACGGCATCAACCGCACATACCGAATCCATCTGCCGAAAAGCTATGACAAGGACCACTCTCAACCCCTATTCCTCTTCTACCATGGCAGAGGAGGGCAGCCAAAAGACATCGAGTATGGGACCCAACTATCCACTGAGGAGGTCAACCCAAATATGGTCGCCGTATATCCTGCTGGCGTCAATGTAAGCAGCTCGTTACATTCTGCCGTTTGTTCATCCACTGATCATTTCGATACAGAAATCTTGGCAAGGCCCGACTTATGCAAAGCCAGGTGTCAATGACCTGAAGTTCACCGATGATCTCGTAAACCGCGTCAAAAGTGACTACTGCATCGATGAGAGCCGCATCTACGCTGGAGGCCACTCCAATGGCGGCGGCTTCGTCGGTCTTCTAGCCTGCTCGAAAGAAGGAGGCCACTTCGCCGCCTTCGCCCCGTCTGCCGCAGCGTTGTATACCGATGTCAACGACCAATCTTGCACTCCTGCGCGTTCCCCTCTGCCCATAATGGAGACGCACGGAACTGCCGACAAGACGATTCCCTACGAGGGAGGCAAGGGCGCCGGAGGACCTCTCCCTGCTATTCCTGATTGGTTGTCTCGCTGGGCGAAGAGAAATAAGTGCGATGAGCCCAAGACATCTGATAAAGGGAAAGGAGTCACTCTTCAACAATGGAAGTGCGGCGGAAAGGAAAATGCGTTGCGTCACTGGAAGCTTCAAGATCAAGGGCACGATTTTCCGGGTCGGAAAAATGAGCACATGTGGTTATCACCCAAGATTATCGAGTTCTTTAATGCTCACAAGAAGCCTTGATTCCAAGATTAGGGTTTTCGAACTGTGGCTGGGTATGGTACTAATTGGGAATAACTCGCTGCTCAGTTGCTTTCATCAAGCCGCTGATTAAATATATGTACTTTAATAGATACCCAATGATGCTATTAGAAACATTATGTTGCTACTGAAAGCTTGATCTCCATGTCTTGCTCTTTGGGGCTATTCTTTACTTGTCTGTATGCCAACGGCTTTCTTAAAATGTTAACAGAGAAATCTGGTTTACACTTCAGTCATATTCACTACTAAATACCAGGAGTGCAATAACTTCTGTACTATGACTACCTTATCCATTAGCCTACGGCATAAACCTTTTCCAGTTGGTTTAATCTCACACATTTCCAGCAGCATGTTAAGGCTCAATCTGTGCCTTTTCGGCAAACAAATTAGTAGATCTGCATTTGATTCTGAATTGTTTAAGGGCTGACAATGGAATTTAAGACTGTTGTTATTGACGGGATCGACAACTTCGATTCGGTTCCTGTGTTTTCCTTTGAGAAATGTGGGAGAGAGAACCTCTGGCGTCTCACTATGTGATTTCCCCCTCCTCGCACGATTTCGACGTTCCTATTTTAGTCTTCCTAGAATTCGTTGAGATCATTGTAAAATTTCTAGACTCCACCTCTATCTAATACCATAGAAATTGGTTCATGCCGTTTCGGCACAAAGGAGTGATAAAGGAATAACACATCTTAGCACTCCCTAAGTTACCTTTCAAAACGCACGTTTGAGCTTTTCCTATAGCCAACCATCAAATGATGAGGTAAAAACTAGGATTATCAATTATGAATAAACATTGAGAGTGTTTTATTTTTGATATCCTCTAAATTTCCTGCTTGGTGCCAGCTGCTCATTCTCTGCGCATTCATCGTATTTAGCTGTTAGGTCTAGCCTCTTCCATGTCTATTTTTTACTTTGTACTCAAACATTCTCACCTACACCCGCTTGTTCTTTTTTGTGTTGCATTTGTGTATTTATATATATATATATTATTTGGGTGTGCGATTTCCTACGTCACGAAGTTGTAATCTTGCATACCTTAGGTACTATGTAATATTATTTCGCGTTTAGGGTAGCGATAATCCATGAGGGTCAGCGACAGTCTTCACGCTTCGCCTCTTTCCTATGAAGCGACGGATTTGATCTTCCGTCAAGGGGGTTTCAGGAAACGGAGGCGAAGCGGTGCAGCTCAAGGGAAGGATCCGCACTGAGGAAAACGCCCAAACGCCCCTCCACTTCAACGGGGCGGAATACCCAGCAGGCTCGCCACGTGTTAGGTACTTGTGAATGCGTAGTGCTCTATCCATGATGATCAGCTTCCTTCGCCCTGCTATAGATAGCTATGTCACGACGAAACGAAAGGGCCACCGACGGAATGGAAGTGTTGTCTCGCGTGCGTTTAGTTCACCTCATAAAGTGGGAGAATGTTAATTGGGATCCGCACTGCCTAACTCCGTACACACGCTAATTTTGAAATATGCACTTTATTTAATATTAGCTAGGCCCATATAAACAGCAGCTTATTCCCGGAGTGAATTTACGCCAGGGACAGGGATCGCCATATTTCGATTCCCTGCTTGCTTGCCTATCGATCGAAGAGGGCTGTTGGAAAAAGGCTGAAAAATAAAGACTGAGGTTCACGTTTGCTTCTAATGGTCCTTACCGCTAGATAGTTGTAGCATGAGCAGGGCTGAGACACAAACAGGGGGCACTGTTGTCCGAAAGTCGCCCGATTTGCAACAGCGCGTATCTGCAACCTTCGCTTCATACGCAGGAAGGCTTTGCCAAGAAACCGTCAGCTTACTCTGTGAGGGCCGGTGAATCGAACGATTGGCCTGTTGGCGTGGCTCCCCTGCATTTTGGCAAGGGACTTTCTATCCGGGGATCACAACTGAAATGACGTTTCATGTAACGGGAAGCTTAGCTCGGCAGTAAAACCAGCGTGGTCCGCACTTGGAGATTCACCATTTCAAACTGAGTGGATAGACAAACAACCACTATCGCAGGTGGGTGATTTGTCGATGCTCACGCTCTAGCCACCATGAGGCGAAGTCCGTGGATTTGCGTGTTGGCATTCCTGTTGGGAAGCGGCCTTGCTCGAGAAAATGCCCCTACGGCTGATAATTTCCTTCGACGAGTGAACCCAAGAGGTAAGAGAGCGCCCCTCGTTTCTCTGCTTCTCACAACATCGCAAAGTACTCACGCCTTTAAATCATAGCTACCGTGTTTGGTAATTATCTATACGTGGATGGAGGTGAAATCGCAGAGAAGGGCAACCCGAGCAACAGACCAAACAATCCAGGCAAGTTCAATTCTGGCGTGCTTTGCTACTTCTCCGGCTAACTTGTTGTGTGTTTGTTTCTAGTGAATGCGACGCTCGCACTCGATCTTTCGAAAAGCTGGACGCCAAAAGATGCCGAGTTCATCGAGACAGAGAAGCCCGATTCCGTTTCGCCGCTGTGGAAGAACGCATTCTTCCACGACGATGCTAAGAAGACATTTTATATTTGGGGAGGCCGTATTTTCCGCACACCTTGGGGAGTGCCGCCACCCGTAAAAGTGTGGAAATTCGTCGCCGATGATAAGGGGGGCGGCGCTTGGAGTACCGAAGACGACAATCACTCCTTTGACGACTTGGTTCGATCCGAAGACGGGGCCTATGTCAGTACCGAGGATGCCGGGTTTTGGATAGGAGGAAGTGCCTTCCCGGAGACTCACACGGATGCCGACTCGGACATTCCTGGTGTTGTCTCCTACAACTTTACGACCAAGGAGTGGAAAAACCATACCGAGGCTCCATTCTCAGACGACGGGACGGTCAACGCGGCGACTGCTACATACATACCCAGCTTTGGGCCGAACGGACTGATCATGTTGCTTGGAGGACTGGAGCACACGATACCCAAAGCCACGAACCATCTGTCATTCGACACCGTACACTTTTTTGACCCAGTCACCATGAAATGGTATAAACAGCCAACAACCGGTACCAAGCCACAGAAGAGAAATCACCACTGCTCCGTTGGCGTACCAGGCAATGGCACCTACGAGATGTGAGTCTGCAGTCATAATGTTCCTCGGCATTGCTTTATCTAACCTAAGAAAATCTCAGATTCATTTATGGGGGTTGGAATCAAGACTATGAGAAGATTCTAGACGACATGTACGTCCTAACGATTCCAGGCTTCAACTGGGCCAAGGTGGACTTCGACAAAGACCCGAGAACAGAATTCGACTGCGTGGTGGCAGGAAACCGCCAAATGATAACCGTTGGAGGTGCTGGAGTGTTCGGCGGATGGACTGTCAAAGACTCTTATCCGAAGGGACTCGGCATCTTTGATTTGACAGAGCTGAAGTGGAAGGACGAGTTCACTCCTGATGCTCCAGCCTACAAAACACCCGATCTTGTCCAGAAGTGGTATGACCAAGGGTACGTATAAATAACCGAGGTTAATGATGAAGCTGCAGAAACTAACCAAGAGGTGATTTACAGAGGCTTGGACCGTGTAGAATGGTCAAACGATGTCAAGGCGCTTTTCACCAAAAAAGACTCATCAAGCACCACTTCCAGCGCCAGCCCCGGCGCAACCTCGACATCCAGCAGCACCACCGACCAGACCAACCAAGATCTCGACAAGGTGTCTTCCGACTCCAAATCAAGTAACACTGGTGCGATCGCTGGCGGAGTTGTTGGAGGACTGGCTGCGCTGGCACTCATAGGAGTACTGATCTTCTTTGTACTCCGACGGCGCAATGGGAACGGAGGAGAGGGTGAGATGGTCGAGCAGCAGCCCTCTGAAATTGATGGACGATCTGTGGCAGCCAGCGGGTGGAGCCCGGGGATGATGCCACCGCCGCCTCGATTCCCAACAGCATCATCTGGGACACCGGATTCGTCTAGGTCTCGGTCGACCCCGGGCCATGGACACCTACCGAGTGAACTTAGCTCGGAGGGTGAGCGTAGAGCTGAGCTGGCTTGATGTAGAGTTGACTGTAATAAGACATAATGGGACGGTTGAGGTTCTAGTTTGATGTCTCACTCAGCGAGAATGATAGAACTGGGTTTGCCACATATATTTCTACGAATAACGATACATTTAATACAACTCACTACTGAAGAGGACATGTCCTGCATTCCCATCGAAGCTGCTGAGTTGACATTTCACGAACACGCAGTGAAATTGGCGGAACTGGATCTTGCTGTGGCAGTGGCTCCTGTAAAGCTTGACCTTGGTACATAATAGTAAAGTGAACAGTAACACTACAAGGGATCATTGCCGAAATCTCCACGTGATCATATCGTATAGAGCTGCACGGGCCGTCCTTGTTCTTGGACCCCTTTCTTGGCTACACGTTTATTGTGTATGCTGTAGACCAGGACCTGAATGATGGCGAAGGCCATTCCCACAGATACCATGATTATCATGGTTCGAAGTCCCGTTTGATAACTTTTAAGTTTGTTTGTTAGCATGAGGTGAGTGAAAAATAAGAGGTTCCAAATGTGTTACTTACAATGGTGTATCGTTGGCTCTGAAATACTGAGTCCCTACCATCAGACCACTGATGGCAGACATAACCCACATTCTGAGAGTGAAGTCATCAGTACCTATAATAAGCACCCATAAGGTCATTAGAGCATCAACTTACGCGATTGCTATGCTTCTCTCTCCTGCATCAACACAATTCAACTGCACCCAGGTGTTGTGAACTGGATGGTATCCCACAGCAAAGCTGTTAACTGCTGTCCAAAGTCCCCACCGAGACCATTTGCCTACATGAGGATGGGCCTGGCGGGCTGTAATGAGGACTATGAGATAACAGACGTGAGCGAGAATGACGGATCCGCCTCTATAACCAGTGCGGTCACTGATGTATGCAAATGTGAAAACCACAAGCAGTGCGATGAATGCACCGACTGAGGCTAGTGCGTTGGCCGTAATACGTTCGAACCCAAGAGACCTTTTGAAATGCATTAGCATCTTCACAAAAAACGGATGGGTTATTATTACCACTTACATGATAATTGAAGGCGTATAGGTTGTAAGAGGGGACCATGTAGAGAAGACAGCGAATGTTGAGACATAGTGTGGCCACCGACGATAATGAGACACGGTACTCCAAACTAATTTCCAGTCAATGGGAAGACCTTGAACTCCTGGGCGCTTTCCAAGATCGTCTGTTTCTAGTCGGCTTTGCAAGACCTTTTTATCGTCGGTAGAAAACTTGACCAAGCCTCTTCCGATGAGAGGCTTCGGAATATCAGGGCTTCCAGGCAAGAACAGGAGCAATAGAAACGAAACACAAATAGTGAACAATCCTTCAACTATAAGAGGCGATGTTAGGATTGCAAGAATATAGGTTTGGGATAGTAACTTACGAAGAAATAGCCACTGCCATCCCCGAAGGCCACGCGAACCGTCGAGCTTCAGAATGCCGGAGGCTAGTAACGGACTGAGAGCATTCCCACCAAACATACCGAAAAAGAGAACTGCCACTCGCTTTGCCAGCTCCCTTTTGGTGTACCAAGTGGACAAGGTGTAGATGGCTCCAGGAATGTAACCAGCCTCCGCGAGGCCCAAGACGAGTCGAGACACGAGGAAGCCTGTACGATTCTTGAGCAAGAGCTGCAATGTCGCGACAAGACCAAAGACGAAGACCTGTCCGGATATCCATTTGCGAGGACCCAACTGTTTGTAAATTTAGTCATGCGTGACCAAACTGAGAGGAGGTATCTTACTCGTTGAAGAGCCATGTTACAAGGTATTTCCAGGACGACGATGCCCATAAACATCAGCTGATTGCCCAAATTGATGGTATCCTGCGTCACTTTGATATCTGTCGCGAAGCCTCCGGTGAGCGCACTGGCTAGATTCATTCTGTCTAATTGGAAAACGAGCAGTCCAAGGAACAGAAGGAGTAAGACAGAAGAATCGATCCTGCCGTTTCGCAATCTACTGTTAGCCCGAGCCGCATTCAGGTCAAGGGGAGGATTTCTGTCATACTTTCTTCGAGCCCGAGCCTCGACCTTCAGATCCCATTCTGCAGTTTCGATGGGGCCATCGCTGGAAGCTGTCCCCTCCGCAATTTTCTCTTCGGGATGATGTTCCGGCGGGGATTTATCACCAATCGCCATATTGCTAGAGCTTGATATCGGTGAAGGCGGTTCAAACGATCGCCCCTTTGGCTTTAACTTAGGAATAGATGAGACTAAAGGCCAGACCTTTGCTCATGAGAGGAATCGAGATCTTTTCAACAATATTATTCTACACACCACCTCAAATTAAGCTACTTGGCGAGACCACTTGGCGAGAAATAACCGTGGCATTGGTGACAACATCGATGGCACCATCGGCGCTAGATATGCTACCTAATTCAACTGCAACGTTGGACCCTTGTCCTGTCAGAAATGCACGTCTACTTTAAAATCCATGGGTTCTCGTTTACGATCACTTATCAAGGTTGAATATGTGGATATTGGAGTCAAGCCCACCTAAGATAGCAAGAAGACAAGACTAGAGGCTCGCCTAAAGACTCCATAAACACAAAAAGACGACCGTGTCAGGAACGGGCCGTAGCTAAGAGCATACTCAAGACTGTGGAGGTGCTCATCGTTCCACATGCGATGGCGTGCTTGGTGGGATTCGATCGCGTCAGTAGTTTTAACCAGTTTTAACCCCCCACATGCTCTGATGGAGCGTTTCTCAAAGCTGGTTAGTGGCCGCGATCTCGGTCCAGCGGTTGTCCAGTTCGACTCTCTTCCTCACCTGCCGTTATTCTGCCCTTGAACAGATTTGTAGAGCACTGCCCGGCTCAATTGGCCTTGGAATCAGTCAGTGTCTATACAGCACATCTGAAATGACCGGCCCGCCTGTTAAGCGCGTAGCCGTCATCGGCGCTGGTCCCTCGGGGGCAATCGCAATTGACGCCCTGGCGCAGGAGAAGGCATTCGACCTCATTCGGGTGTTTGAACGGCGCGAAGCCGCTGGAGGATGCTGGTAAGTCTGGTCACGGCTTAGCTGACAGCTCGTTTGCTGAGACGAAGAACCGCACACAGGATCGGCGACTCAGACCCCCCTCCGGCCATCTCAGACTTCAAAGACCTCGCCGACAGAACTGCCGACTCACCGCTGGCGATTCCTGAGAAGCTCCCGGCCTTCACGCCCAAATCCGAACAGCCGCGCTTCACCGAATCGTCGGTGTATCCGTACCTCGAGACCAATGTCGGAGATCTGCCCATGCAATTCAGCCAAGAGGCGATTGCGGCCGAACGGAGCGATCGGTCAATAGCCGCGCATGGACCGGACACGCCATTCCGACACTGGCGTGTCATGAGGCGGTACATCGAAGGATTGGTGAGCAGGAGAGGCTACAGCGACTTTGTCTCCTACAGCACAACCGTGGAGAACGTGGAGAAGGTCGGTGCCGAGTGGAAGGTGACGCTGCGCAAGGACGGCGAGGAGAGCGACTACTGGTGGGTGGAATGGTTCGATGCCGTCGTCGTCGCGAGCGGACACTATTCAGTGCCATATATCCCAACCATCGAGGGCATCGGTGAGTTCGAGAAGCTGCGGCCAGGGAGTGTGATTCACAGCAAGCACTTCCGGGGGAGAGATCTCTACAAGGGCAAGCGGGTGGTCGTGGTCGGCGCGTCGGTTTCTGCAGCAGACATCGCATTTGATCTGGCCAGAGTCGCGCAGGGTCCTGGATTCGTCCATGCCATTACCATCGGCCATGCTGCCAACGCGTATTTCGGGGACGGTGCATTCCATCACCCGAACATCCAGAATCATCCTTCGATCAAGAGCGTGTCCAGCATCGGCCGCACCGTCCACCTGGAGAACGGGGAGACCATCCCCAACGTCGACCACATCATATTCGGCACGGGCTACAGCTGGACACTGCCCTTCCTCCCTTCAGTCCCCGTCCGCAACAACCGCGTCCCTGATCTCTATCAGCACATTGTCTGGCAGCACGACCCCACGCTGCTGTTCGTCGGCGCCGTGGGGGCGGGACTGACCTTCAAGATCTTCGAGTGGCAGGCGGTTTATGCTGCGAGGCTGCTGGCCGGTCGCGCTCAATTGCCGCCTCTCGACGTGATGCGTAAGTGGGAGTCGGACCGGATCAAGGCGCGAGGAGACGGGGGCAAGTTCCTGCTCGTCTTCCCCAACTTCGAGGAGTACTTCGAGACGATCCGCGCATTGGCAGGAGAACCGAAAAACGGGGTTGGGAGAAAGCTGCCAAAGTTTAGGCGTGAATGGTTCCGAGCCTTTATGGATGGCCACGAGCTAAGGAAAGACATGTGGCGCCGGCTGAATGCGGAAGCCCGTGAGATTGTAGAGGCTGTACCTAAAGCGCGTCTGTAGAAAGCGAGAATTGTAATTAGCGACGTGTTAAATACTAAATAAAATCAATAGAGGAGTGAATCAATCGCTGCGAGTCTCATTGTCCAAGTAGCCTCTGTCGGATGCGCTCAAGGATCTGTTGAATCAATTAATTAGGCGGAAAGAAAATAAATCATCGCGTGCCAAGAAGCGTGTGGTGACTCTGATTAAGTGAGATATGAGATACGGATTTGTGGCAGTTCTTTTCCTGACTGAATCCTGCATTTCCCCCCTCCAACACCGTGACCTTTCCACCCTCATCGCCCAACAGACAGTCTTCGTGCGCCCCTAAAGCCACCGAACCATCACAATGTCAAAATCGCTTGCGTCTCAGATTGCCGACGTCTTCTTTTACGCCGGCTGTGCCACTCCAGCAGCTGTCATCGTGCACAGCCTCCAGACGACCAGACGCACGCAGGACTGGCTCATCTACGTCGCTGTCATTGTACGTCTCTGCCGTATCCTCACTTGTCGCATCCATTTGTTCTAAATAATTAACTAGGCTATATTCGGAGGCTATGGTTCAAATGGAATCATTGGCCGGTTCAGCAAAATCGAGGAGCGAATCCAGGAGAGTCGACCTCGAGCGCTTCTTCAATTGCTCCTCCTTGTTGGCGTCTTCTTCAATTGCGTCTTCGTCCTGAACGGCACGGCTCGTATATCCGGCTGGCTCCCTGCGCCTGAGAATGAGGACATCCTCAAAACAACCTTGATCTCACTCTTCGGAGTTGTTGGGTGGGTTGCGCCTTCATTGCCAATTTGTGCTTTGCTAACCGATCATCAATAAGTACGACCATCGCCGCTGTGTTAGGGACTAATGCATTGGCCTTTAGAATTTACAAGAGGAGCATGAGAACAGCCCCGGCTAAGAATGAGTAATGCCCTTGCGGAATGAAAGACGAGCCCAGGCGCCCTCCGTCATTTAGGGCGAGTCGTGTGCCTTATTCGTCTCTGAATGGATTTTTCTTGATGTCAAGATCATAGGTTACAAGTCTAGCTACATGGCTCATTTCAATATAGCCTTGAATGGTCATAAGAAGCATGATAGACCGCGTTGTAAGGTTATTTTAATGCATGAACGCCTGCTTCTCTTTCATTCCCTATGCTATTTATTCTACATGGTTTTAGCTTTCTTGGTTCCCCGGAAACTTTCCATGACTAGCACTGTATGAGTTGCAAGAACACTGGAAGACTGAGATATTCACACACCCAACGCGGTCAAATCAATTGCAGCATTGCTCACGTAGTTGACGGCACTTGGCGGCAACCATCCCGCGCCGATAATCCCAAGAAGATTAGGATCATCACGGTAGACCATGAGAGCCTTGGTGTAAGCCCGAGGCTGGGGTGTGTTGAACTCAATCCATGAGTCCTCGGCACCCAGGTTCTTGTTCACGTAAATCTTGTCTGTGGTAGCGGCGCTGAGGATGATTGTTCCATTGCCCCCGCCGAGGCTGCTCCAGACCACATAGGGAGAGCTCGATGGCCTTGTGCCCTTGTCAGAGCGGACCGAGTAGTCAGGCGCATTGAGGAAGTCCAACGGATCGGGGCCGAGACGGTAGTGAATTCTGCAGCCGTCGTTGCCGCACTGTTCGTAGGTGAAGATGTAATTGCCATTTGGTAGCTTTGCGATAACGGGCATACCAGGGCGGCCCTCGTAGTTTCCGACAGTAACAACGTCGTTCACAGGGTCGGACCACTCTAGAAGGTTGGTGGTGACCTGGTGGCTCAGTTTTTGACCATAAGCTGGATCGCGCTGGTCAGCGTAATACAAAATCAACTGGTTCTTGTATGTCCTATTAAGAATGTTAGCGCCCAAGAAATGCTGTAATCCAAAACTGATGAACATACAAGATGAAGGGTTCCCAGACGGGCGTTAAACCGTTCACCGGTCGACCCTCGCCTCCGCTAGCGACACTGCTAACGAACTCCCACGTGAAGCCCTGGTCTCTGCTTGCATACACATCGATTTTCGTGTGCTTAAGATCCGAAGGAAGGCTGTTTCCTGCGCAAAGAATCGTTCCAGCAGGGAAATCACCAACATCCTGTGGCAGCTGATAGAGAAACGGTTGATATCGGTTACCCCAACCGTTGACGTCGTCTGTGACACGACCGATTTCTGCCCAGTTCAGTCCGCCATCGAGAGACTGATAAATGGGATAGTAGACAAGTGGCGGCTCCGGGGAGTAGTTTTCCCAAGTGGCAAGAAGGGCACCGCTCTCGAGCTGGATCATCCGGGCATATAGAACCCGAGGATCCGTCCAGCCAGCGTCTGTAGGTGGGGAGAAGATGGTCTTGTCAGAGAATGTCGTGCTGGGGACGGAGCTCACAACCCTCGTGGGCTCATCTCTTACTGCCAACGACTGGGCAAGATTGACTGTCGGAGCAGAAGTCACGACTTGTGCCAAGCCCAGCAGGCCTGAGAGAAGAAGACGTCCTCCCTTCATGGTGCCTGACTCAGACAGAGATAAAAGTTAGGGAAAAGAATGAAATTACAGGTTGTTTTGGACAAGATCACCAGCAGAGGGATTGATCTCTGGGGTTAAGGACGCGAGGGCCTTCTTATGATCCATGGACATCAATGATCATCGGTGGGTCAGTCTACCAAGAAAGACATACCGTATTCGGGCATTCGGTTCAATAGTTGCGACCAATGTCCAGCATTCCAAGAATCATCTGGACACAGGTGGATGTCACTGCAATGCCAAAGTCAGGGTGCGGGGCAATTAAGAGAGGCGCTCCAATAGTATCAAGACGGCTCCAGGATTCAATTTAGGCGGGATCGTCACTTTAAGCTCCCCCCTCCCGTTCTTCCTGCGTGCCTAAATAGGGTAGTATCTGCTCATGTGCCGAGGACAACAGAAACTGTATGGGCTGTCCGGTTCCTGCAGCTGAAAATGCTCAGATTCTCATTTGCGCGGGACTTGGGCTCGCCAGGGCCAACCCCAATATCGTAGATCAAATGTCACCCACAAGACAACTTCAACCCCCCTCAAAATAACTTCAGGAGAGAATCCAACTCGATGAAGACTGTGTGGATTACAACCCCGCAGTTCTTATTTGCACTTCTAGGGTCACTTTTGCTCTTCATTATGGCTCCTTCTTAGAACTATACCTGTATCATTTCGAGTATATCTAGCTTACTGATGCGAAATAAAGAGAACAAAATGGATCCAGCATGCCCTGCATCGCTTATACTTGAAATAGATTACACTGAGAAGAACTCGGCAAGCCTTAAAACCACGATTCGAACAGGATTCCCCTTCAACCTAAACGACAGAACCTAAACATGGAGAAAGGGTTTGTATGTGCCCCCCATCGCAAATAATGGAGCATAGCATGCCAACGAGAGACCCCCTTGACAGAGTCATTGCCATGCCAATCATCCATAAGAGTAGCCTGATACTGGTCGGAAAATCATAGCGGATTTTCCTTTTCGGCGAGCCTATTCCCTTCTGTAATGCGTTTGATTAAGGGTCGGTAATGTCATGGTGAAACCTGGATCGAAAAGAATCCCTCTGTAAACCTAACTGACCTTCGTTTGCTTGTGACCTGTGGCAAATCAGCAAGACCAAATTCAAATGCACTTAAAACACACTCTTGCTCTATATCTAGCAAAGCAACTTAGCATAGCTTCATCAACGTGCCAGCCACTTGAAACCCTGAAAAGTCTGTTGCAGCGACTACTCTGTGGTAAGCTTTTTTTTTGTTCGCCTTCAGGATAACTTTTTCCCATGCCCAAGGTTTCTATTGCCTCCTAAGCCTCCCGTGACGACGCCCGAGGAAACAACCTCCAGGAATATACGCCCCAGGTCAATATGTCAAAGCTTATACGATCACCTGACTGTCTGGGCCATTCCCCTGTTAATCATCCTAGGCGGTGGGCTGGCATTTAGATAAAGAAGTATCTGATCATACCTACGGAAAATCTGGTGATCTCAAAAAGCTTGTTTATTCATTTGGTTTTTGCGCTGGTCGGGAGAGGAGGCTTTTCTCCTCACCACCACCTACGGCCCAGATGAGAGAGAGGAAAGAACAACACGTTCTAGGCAAGTGTTCTCGAGGTCGCCTGCCCCTTTGCAATTTTGAATTGCTTTTTCTTCTACACACCTTACTCTCGCCTTTATTTTTTAACTCTTCCCCATTTGCGCCACAGCAAACACGTAGGTTGACTGCTGTAGGTTTAGGTTTCGCCATGCGCAAGGTTAACAACCTCGGGCAATCACCACGTTGTAAAAGACGCGAGTAAAGTTCACTGTCGTGCATGTTTGTTTACCTATAAAGACCCGAGGCCTTTCCCCTCTTCTCTTTCTGGCTTCCCCTCAAACTTCTCCAGTCAATCATCACATCTCGTTACTGAAGTCTTAAAGAATATCGATTTACTCATCATTACTACAACTCCATAGCACATCGTTACCAACTTCTCCGACCAAGCCCACGGGAAACACAATGTCTACCTCCGGGCAAAAGGTCACCTTCTTGGCCTGCATGCTAGGCGCTGTGGCTAGTATCGGAGGCTTCATCTTCGGTTATGTCAGGTATGCTCCCCCCATCCCCGATTTACGCAGAGGACTGAGCTGACTCTCGACTTAGTGGTCAAATTTCGGGCTTCTTTCTCATGAAAGACTTTGGCCAGAGATTCGGAACCCCAGAGCCAGATGGAAAGTTCTCCTTCAGTGCCGCCCGCCAGGGCACCATCGTCGGCCTTCTCTGTGTTGGTGCTCTCTTCGGTTCGCTCGCCTCCGGCAAAATGGCCGACGCTTTTGGTCGACGCCTCACCATCTCCCTATCTGCCTTCTTCACTTGCATTGGTACCGCTATCGAGATCTCCTCCCAGTCTTCCTGGGCGCAATTTTCCGTCGGCCGCCTGGTGACAGGTCTAAGCATTGGCTCATTGTCTGTCGTCGTCCCCATGTACCAGTCAGAAAGCGTCCCCGCCTCTCTCCGAGGCGTTGTTGTCTCATCTTACCAGCTGCTCATCACTCTCGGTATCCTGGCTTCCGAAATAGTCAACTGGGGTACTGAATCAAACCCAACAAGCATGTCTTGGCGAATTCCCAACGGGCTGACCTTTGGTTGGGCCGTCGTCCTCGGCGTGGGCATCCTGTTCCTTCCCGAAAGCCCTCGATATGCTATCTCCCAAGGCAATGTTGCGGAAGCCCGCAAGACTATCGCCAACCTGGAAGGTCTTGATCTGATGGATTCTGAAGTCTCGGGCCAAATTACCAATATCCATGACCAGCTGAACGCAGAGAGTAAGAGCGCTGATGGCTTCAAATGGACAGAGATCTTCACTGCTCCTCGCATGTTCTACCGCACAGTTCTCGGAATCACTCTCATGGCTGGACAACAGCTTACTGGTATCAACTTTTTCTTCTATTTCGGCACCACTCTCTTTGCTTCCACTGGCATCAGTAATAGCTATACGACCATGATCATCTTGGGCTCCGTCAATGTCTTTTGTACGATCATCGGCCTTTGGATTGTCCAACGATGGGGCCGAAGATCTATCCTGATCACCGGAGCCGTCTGGATGACCGTCTGCTTCTTGTATGTTTTACCCTTTGCCTCCCCAGTGAAGTCCTGCGCCTTGATTCTGACTGAGTGTGTTTTAGGATTTACGCCTTTGTTGGCCGTTTTGCGCTTGACCGTGAGACTCCCGCAAACACCCCCCTCGCCGGAACACTGCTTGTCGCCTTCTCATGCCTGGCCATCGCTGCCTTTGCCGTGAGCTGGGGTCCTCTCGCGTGGGCCGTCAACGCAGAGCTCTTCCCCATCCGATACCGCGGAACCTGCATGGGCCTCGCCACTGCTGCCAACTGGTTCTGGAACTTCCTCATTTCCTTCTTCACCCGGTTCATCATCGATGAGATTGACTACTTTTATGGTCTCGTCTTCGCCGGATGCTGTGCCGCGCTCGCCGCCATTGTCTACTTGTTCGTCATTGAGTCCAAGGACCGGACCCTCGAAGAGATTGACGCCATGTACATCAACCACGTCAACCCCAGGGAGTCTACTTCCTCGAGCACTGGCAAGGATGAGTCGAATGTCCTACGGGGAAGTGCAGCATGATTTTTTGGCCAGGATACTGTTGGCATTTCCAAACAATACGCTTCTTCGTCGCAAAAGGACAAATCAAAGGGGGGGGGGGGGGGTGAGAAGAAACAGTGTATGACACGGATTTATGGCCAGCAGTAATCTTCCGGGTGCTCAAACGAAATAGGAAAAAAAAAACGCGAAACGGAAGCAATTGACAGAGGTGGTAAAACTCAGCGGGATGAATTCGTTCTATCAGTAGCTAGTTCAGCGAGATAATATATCATATTCAGTCTTTGCATCTGACCTTCTCGTGCATTATCATACAGCACTGGAAATAGCACACCCAAATGAAGACCTAAATAATCACCTAAAGCATCGCCTGATAAACACCCGAATAAATATCTAAATATCTAAATAAGTAGGTTATTCTAAATAGAGATTAGAGAATATGGGAATTTAGGCCTGAATATTCTGTTCTTTTAATCTTATTCCAGTATTTCTATAGCTAGCTTTAAAAGATAATAAAGCATGTCTTAAGGGAGTGCTTAGGTGTGCCATTTCTAATGTCACCCACTTGGATGCCCGAGGCTTCCGCGGAGTGCTGCAAGAACTTCAATCACAAAGGGAATAGAAAGGAGGCCAGCGGAGGGATGACGACAATTGTTCAATGCGCACACGTCGTTCATCCGCAACTACTAATAAGACTTAAAATAGATCTTGCATCTGTCACTGCCATTAAATATTTTCGTCATGAAACATCTGTCTTCAAGACTGGGCGCTACTGCCGGTTCTCTACCACGCTCCGGGAGGGCTCCGAGAGTGCCGGTACATGTTGGCCCAGGCAAAATCGGGTGTCCTTCCGGTGTAGAAGATGTTAGGTATACAGTATGCCATGACGGCACCATTGAAGACCATCGGATGGCCCCCTTGCTATGCCAAAAGCAGCTAAGATGCCCTGGATTCATCACCAAGACAAACCAGGCTTCTGGAATTCGGGGACTCATGGTGGGGGTGAGGCAAACCTCAAGCCCTGGGCTGGTACCTGGGCACGGATCTTGACCTTGTTGCCCTGTCGTTGGGAGCATTGGGCGCACGTGAAGGTCGAGACAAGCTCATCCGTTCGGCTCAGATTCTGCAAGGCACATGACCGGCTTGCCCTGGCGGCTACTGAGCACTCTAATTTAGGATTCATCAAGTCTCGGCTCCAGGGGCGTTGAGGTGATCTGTGCTCTGTTCCCTTCTATTACTATTCTTGTACTAGGGCACTCGTGGCCATGAAAAGTGCCCAAAAGTGGCGGCGTAAGACGAGAGAAAGTTTCAACTGATCTCCACTTGGAGCAGGAAAAATACGATGCTGCCATTGTCAGTCACCACTGAGCCTGCTCGGTTATGCCTTTGGCTTTATGCTAATGATGGGTGAAGTTTTTTTTTCAGGGCACGGGCATGGCTCCTCCTATCTGCACGGCTCAGATCCCGTGATACAATCCCGCCATATTGCATCATTGGACATTCAATTATGTGTCGTTTGCCGTTGACGTCCAAATTAAGTGGTTGGCTGGCGTGACAAGGACGAATCTGCATGGAAAATAAGCCGATCCACTGCAGAGGGCGGAAAGGGCTTGCCTTGGCCTTGGGGGCGAAAGCGAGACCTTCCACTTGGACCAGCACACTACGGACGACGAAATGCTAGCTTTGCAATTCTTCCTTCACCGTCATGATCGCTGATGGAGTTGTATCCATTCGACTTTACCCGGATAGGCATCAATTTGGGGATTCGTGCAGCGGCAACAACCGACCTTACCGGGTACCAGAATACTGTCTCCCTCATGGCCGGATCTGACAGGAGTCTCGTGGTCCCCAGATGCGACCTGCATTGGGCGTTTGCTCCCTGGAATCCAAAACGCCAAGCAATGGAAGTGGCCTACCCGAGCTGCCGCCCCAATGGTGCAAAGTACCTGCATGATGCTACAACGTGGGGATGACTCGGGGGACGGGAGCTTTGTATGCCGTCGCTTCTCATGACTGACTCTTGCCCTACTCCCTTTCTTTTGCCAATTGCTCCCTCGTACTCAGGCAGGATCGGCATTGCAAGCTCCAACTCTCTCCAGATGGCCAAGGAAGACTCCTACACTAGACTGACAGCTAAGGTGCTTCACTGTCATCATGATCATGAGGGGAGTGCATGGAGGATTCACTGTGACGGGGCCACTGATCATCTCCATACCGTGCCCTAAATCCATTCCAATCCACCGTATACACGCAAGCAAGCAGTTGATGGATCGTCATGAGAGGGAAAGGGATTGACACTTGGCCACGCACTGCCTAATCCGCAACTAATTACATAACAAAAACTCCGTCATGGCCCTCCGGAAGCACCCTCTTCATCAAACCATTGTCCAATTCAGGCGCCGGGCCCTCGTCCTAGCAGTCTGACGTTTGCCTGACTGAAAACTAGGCCCGGAGGAACCATTATTATGGCTGTGCTGGGCCGGTCACGATCTTGCTTGGGTCGCTGACGCGGATACTGAGCACCGAGCCCCGGGACGACCCACGGCAGCTTCTAGCTCTGGATGCTGGGTTTGGAACACGAGCACGCAAACGGAGGAGAAGAAAGCTCAGACAATCGTTTCCACACCCGCTTAGCAAGCGCCGTGGGTCAGAGGCAGCAACTGGCGCATTAATTGTCGTAATTGAGCCTATTTGGTCTCCGATATAGGGAAGCTTGGCTTTGACCTGGTCCACTTGCCTCCATCATCCCCAAGCAAGGCCGATATAAGTCATCCCCTCTCTCCCACCCTCACACACGCCTCTATAGATCCTATTAGGTAGCACCATTCATATACGTCTAATCGAAAACATTTACCTAGCCATTCACTGTCCCGTCTACCATCAGTTTCCTCATTACCTAGTATTTGATATGGAAGGAACACCGAAATCCTCTGCCCAAGATGACCCTGACCCTTACCCCGACCCTTTCCCTGCAGCCCCCGAAAGCCAAGATGGAAGCGCTCCGTCAACCGACACCCCTCCAAGCCCGCAGACAGCCGAGGCCATCGCGGCCGTGAAGAAGGAAAAGGCCCGTGTGCGGTTCAACAGCACAGCCGCAGCGAACAAGCCGCCGACGATCATCGTTCCCACAAGCTCAACCCTCCAGGAGCCGGAGCCGCGGGAAGTGCCTGTAATAAGACCACCAAGGCCTTCCATCCTTCGCGGTAGCTCATACACTTCCAACACTAGCGGGCAGGACCACGACGACGAATCGATGGACGAGAGGAGCGAGGAGGCCATCCAGGCCGCGCTGGCGCAGGCTCGCGCGAATCGGGTGGCGGAGAAGGTCCGGAGAGACTCGCTTACACCATCCTCCCGCACCTCGCTGGAGTCTCGTCCCGGAACGGCGATGACTGACAGTTCCGGGCCCCTTCTCTATGAGAATATCCCCCTCCAGAACCTAACGCAATCCCAGGGAACAAGCGAAGGAGGGGACAGCCAGACCGCCGTGGGGGCGGACGAGGCGCATGAACAGCTGCAGCGCGAGGCCTTCAACCTCGTTCGAGCGCATACCCAGGTGATCCGAGGGCGGGCGACGGATGAACCAGCGGGTGAGTCTGCCGTGGTTGATAGCACCACCATCATCCCAAGCGAGGTCCACGATGGGTCTTACGACGGCGTGTATAACGTGCCGGTGCCTCAGCACTACCGTGGCAGCGTCCTGTCCCAGCTCCTAAAGCTCTACAAGCCGGCCGAGGCGAGCGGCATGAGCTCGCACAAGCGCCATTCCAGCACAGGAACCGGGGGATCCAACTCGGGAGCAACGACGCCCACGCGCAGGAAGTGGTACGAACAGAACCGCTCCCAGGATACTCTGGCCAACCTGATTGAAGCCTCGACACGCCTCGCCAACCCCAACCTGCCGTCAACGCCTCAATCTCCCAAGCTAGGGGCCTTCGACAAGAAACGGCACAAGCGAAACGGCAGCAGCTCGAGGCTGAGCCAGTACTGGCAGAAGGAGGAGGCGCGCATCACGGTGCACATCGCCGAGACTCTCGCCCGGCAGGACTACATCGTCAAGCTCTGCCGCGCCCTGATGCTCTTCGGGGCGCCGACGCACCGCCTCGAGGAGTACCTGAGCATGACTGCGCGCGTGCTCGAAATTGACGGCCAGTTCCTGTACCTCCCGGGCTGCATGATCATCTCCTTCGACGACAAGTCAACCCACACCACGGAAGTGCGCATCGTCCGCACGGCGCAGGGCATCGACCTGGGGAAGCTCAAGGACGTCCACCAGATCTACAAGGAGGTGATGCACGACGTGATCGGTGTCGAGGAGGGCACCAAGAGGCTCGAGGAGCGCATCAATGCCAAGGACAAGTTCCCTGCCTGGTTCCGTGTGTTGGTCTTTGGCTTCACGAGCGCCGTTGCGGCGCCCTTCTCTTTCAAGGCGCGCTTTATCGACCTACCTCTATGTTTCTTCTTTGGCTGCCTCGTCGGGCTGCTGCAGCTTATCGTGGCGCCCAAGTCCAACCTCTACAACAATGTGTTTGAAGTCAGTGCGACTGTTCTGGTCAGTTTCTTGGCCAGAGCTTTCGGTAGTATCAAGAATGGGGAGCTGTTTTGCTTCTCGTCTCTTGCTCAGGGAGGAATCGTAATGCTTCTGCCAGGATATGCAGTCTGTAAGTTTTGGATCTCCCGTCTGCTCTACTATTTTTCTCGGTTCCTAACACAGAATAGTGTGTTCATCACTCGAGCTACAGTCTCGCGCACTCGTCCCTGGGTCAATTCGCATCGTCTACGCAATCATCTACTCTCTGCTGCTGGGATTCGGCATCACGGTCGGCGCCGCCCTCTATGGTCTCTTCGACAGCAACGCGACCTCCGCGACGACATGTACAGATCCAATGGATTCGTACCTCACGTTTGTGTTTGTGCCGTTATTCGTCGTCTGTATATGTATCCTCTACCAAGCCAAATGGCGCCAGATGCCAATCACAATTATCATCTCGTTCGCAGGGTACATTGTCAATTACTTCAGCAGCATCAGGTTCGCGGCGAGCCCCCAGGTGTCCAGCACCCTCGGCGCGTTCGCGGTCGGCGTCTTGGCCAATCTATATTCTCGAATCCGACACGGCGTGGCCGCCGCCATCCTCATTCCTGCAGTGTTCTGCCAGGTGCCGGGAGGTCTGGCATCAACGGGAGGCTTGTTGAGCGGGTTGAAGACAGCCAACATGCTGACCAACTCGTCCCAAACGGTGAATTCGACCAGCTCGGTGCAGATATCGGATGGGCAGTCGCTCAATACGGTGTCGTTCGACGTCGCGGCGTCTATGATTCAGATCGCAATCGGCATCGCGGTTGGCTTGTTTATCAGCGCGCTCGTCATATATCCGTTCGGGAAGCGTCGCAGTGGTTTATTCAGTTTCTAAGAAATTCGCGTATTATTAGTGGGCATCTTCATCTGGTTCTTACTTGTTGTAATTGGTTCAAGCGTTTGGTTAACATTGGTCGCGTCTCGTCTTTGGGTTGCATTTGGAGCATTGCATCACACCTGGTAGCTATCACGTGACAGCTTTCACACATAGCGTTGGTTCATTGGTTGGCGTTTTGGCACCATGTCGTTTTCGGCATTTCAGGTACATAATTCCGTGCATAAGTGTTATGCCTGCATAAAAGTATTATCACATAGCAATGCCTTTCGAATCAATTGTTTGAACTTAATTCATGAATACCTATATATATATACATGCAATGTGAGCTGAGATTAAAGGCAGATTGAGTTATAATATTAAGCTATGGCTCTTCTCAACTCGCGTGCGATTACTCTTAGACCGAGTAGCTTGGATCAAAGTCTACATGTATGTATGCTAGTGAAACCTCTCCAGGTTCTACTGTGCAACACAAAGAATATATGATCTCTAGGCAGGTGAAAGTGGCCCAATGATGTACAGGTATATATGCTTGTCTTGAATGCCGTAATTTCTCTAACTTCAAAAGAGCAAAGGATGTTAATACTGTTGCCGCCGACCATCACCAACCGCCAACGAATGCCACCTAAATCAGAACACGCAAAGCACCCAACCACAACAATAATAAGAAAAAAGCAAAGAAAACAAAACTTTCATAGGTCTTTATCGGGTAAACAGTTAGCAATTCGCCTCCAGCGGCCACCAACTTAACACGTTCGATGTACGTGGCTCGAGCTACCTCAATAACTTGTGCTAAAGAATTGACATCTTCCTCTTCTACATCATGTTGGTTTACTTCGGCCTCCTCCTCGCTAACGCCACTGGGATGATAGCCGGCAAATTCAAGAGACTTGAGAACAGCCGAAATTTAGTCCTTGGGGCTCTTGTCCACGCTCTGCTGCTCATTGGCAGGCTCTTCTTCTCCATCAGAGTTCACATCCTTACTGAGGTCAAAGGTCTGATCATCTGGCCCAAACACAAGCTGTAATGGTAAGGTGCAGGCAGCTTCTCTCATAGCAGGCTTCAGAAAACAGTATTTCTGAGGGGCTCCTTTCAGCCATCCCTTTTTCTTGAGATCGCCAAGGGAGTAGGATTCTGGCAGCTGTTCAAGTTTCAAGATTTCGTAAGCATACTTGCCAGAACCTTCCAGATCGCCACGATCAAACTCATCATTCCCTAGCCCATCATGATTGCGTATCTCTCCAGGACGCTTCCCTTGACTAATAGTTGCGATATATCGGATAGACGAGAGGGGGCTGGTTTCATATATCCAAAGTCGCTTGACTGAAGCAGGAAGAAGGTAATTACGGAACTCATGGTTCTTTTCTCGGCTGACAATGTTGGCTACATACTTTGGGTGTATAGATATGATGATATCTCGGCGGTCTTCCATTGATAATGGCGTGATTATATGGACTAGAATGAGATTGTTGATATTGGTTCGGAGTCAGTATGATATTGAAAGAACAAGGATGTGGTGTTATGACTTTGACACGACACGGAAAGACAAGGCATCAGGACCTGGGGCACGTAAGCTTTCAGGCATCAACTATAACCGAGCCGAAGTTGTGCCGACACAAAATTTCCGAGATAATACTTCTTGAAATAGAAGAGGGTTGCGTTTTGAAGGTGTTGCACCCTGGTTGGGACATTCAAGCGTTTCACAATAGCTATCCTGTACCTACTCATCAACATTAGCCATGCTTCTTATTAAGCACCAATACATCTCAATCGATTCTTTTATTATTTAAGCGCAATTTCAAATATTTTATGTTTCTATGTCAACCTCTTATTCGTCGAGTTCGATTCCGTTCTGCTCCAAAGATGGTAACCGATCTTCCCTTAGCAATTCGAGGTGGAATCAACCGGAATTCACAAATAGTACTCACTACGTAGACCCGTTGAGAAAATATGACCATAGATGAAAAAATTGAAATAAATTGAATTCAAACGCCTATTGATGAGAAAGAGAAAAAAGGGTTATGAAAATTGAGACGCATAATGCGGAACAAACACCATCATCCTATCATTTCCTTCTCGGAGTTCCAGAGATGTAGGTCAAAAATTTGAACAGTTGAAAAGGGTCGAAAAAAATGAAAGAAGAAGAAGAAAAGAAAGACGAAGAGTGAGACCCCGTAGACTAAGCGGAGGTGACAGCCTTTTTGCAGTCACCCTGACCTTTAAACAGTTTTCCATTGCGGCAAGCGCTTTCTGCGATCACTGTTAGAATATTGTACGGAACGGGTTCTAACAATCTCTATACTTACGGCTGACTCTTGCGCAACTGACTATAGCAGCGGAAACGCCTGCACAGCCCATTCTCGCGGCTCGGGTGCACTGGTCATATTTCTTCTTATCGCAGGCCTCAGCCATCATAATCAGGCCGATCCAGGTGATAATTGTCAGAAAAGAAATCTTCATCTTGGCGAGTTTATCACAAAATGTTGTTCTTCCTCTTTGGTAGCGGAAGTAATGATAATGTTGTTCAATCAAAATAGTCGTCGATATCTGTGATGATCTTATAGAAGTGTAGTAGAGTGAGTTGACACAATTAGAATATTGACGTTCTACGAAAAGTAGGTGACCTCAATGCTTAAATATCTGTTCAATCTTAGAATTCGGTTGGGTTCTTTATTTTTAGCCAATTCGGTTCTGGGCATAGAGTAGCGTTGAATCCGAGGGAAGAGGAATGGCCCTTGTCGAGTGTTGACGAATAGATCTACTATCTACGATAGCCAGTTGGATCAAACACCATGCACCCCTTGAGACCGATCAGTGTTGCAATGGCATAAATGTGCTTGACACAAGGATGCCCCGCGCGGCAACGGGCCAAGCCCACTTGGGGTTATATGAGGATATGCCTGAACATCACATATAGGTATCTCTCCTTGTTCCATAGACCTCGATCTGGATCTTACTAAAGTGATTCCCGATATATCTTTAGAATTGCTATATCGGTCTGTCGAGCTTGTTGAAGCCACCGCTTTCCTGTGCACATGACGTTGGTGAGTCCCTCAAACGTTTGAAGATGTTTACGCTAGGACGGCACCATAAATGCCCGGACAGCAAGTGAATGTCCATTAGTAGAATAGTAGATTGAATTTAATATCTGGTGCAACGTTGATATTATTAGCTGCATTAGGCCGTCGTAACTTCTTCGCTGAGGAAAGACATCATATCCAAAACACATCAAGCAGCGGAAACCATCAAGCTCTGCACCTTCATTGACGTCACCTGTCCGGTCATGCCAACCCGATTTCCAAGGGTGGCGCCCCAAAGAGAGGAAGGGGGGGGTTGATCGCGTTTCAGGATGCACATTTCCAAGTTATCTGGCGACTGGCCCGCGCGGCACGGTTATGGGTGAATAATGCATCTGCAAGGTCAACTACCGACTCACTCCATCTGATAGCCGACCCAAACTAATGCAGCGATCTTAAACATACTCGGAAGTAATTTTAGCCAATCTCTAACACGGAATACTCTAACTTTCAGACTGCTGGAAAATTGAATCCTCCGTCACTGCATCAGACCACCTCCCTTTCATTAGCATGGGTGTGACAGGGATCGATGCTACTCTGGGTGCGTTTCATTTGGCCTTATATTACCAATTTCCTCCCCAGACTTTCATTACTGGGAAGGGTTTTCTTGAATCCAATCGTGAACTTATGTACTTGACAGCTGAAGTACGCAGGTTATGGTCGCATTCACCCAGCCGTCAACACTTCGTCAAAACATACCAACCCGCCACAAAACCTGATGTTTTCGCCAACCTATATGAAGCCCGACGAGAGCCTTTCTTTTACTAAGTATGAAATACATTCATAACACAGCGTAAAATGACAATAGCATCTTGCATTTATTCGGCTACGAGAAACGTCTTATCGCGTTATAAAAAAATAACTAAGGAGGGACTCGAATCTTTCTATTCAGCCCAATCACTTTCTTACCGCTACATCTTTCTTCCCAAACTATTAATCCATGAATCTGTTCAGCCTGTGGGATTTGATTAATTCGTAATTGAACGAATGGGTGGCTGCGGTAACGGAGGGGCTCTGCTACATAGTATCTATAATCTAAACCCAAGCTAGACTCATCGTCTATTTTGTACAGCTCTAAACAGAAATCGCACGCTTTTCCAAAACTGAAAAAGTCATAACATGCCAGCACCAAGATGTTCCAACCCACCTTGTAAGAGTGATTTATAGGCTACCAGTACGAAATCACCTTTCACTACATTCATATATCACACCAAAGCTAGTGAATCTCGAAATTCTCTAAGGGGTCTAGTTTACACATGGAGGGAAAACATTAGTGGAAATGATTAGTGAACGGCCCAAGAATCAAGTGGTATAGCATACGAAAACAACTAAATGACACGAGGGCTATTCAAGTAGAGCAAACGAGCAAATTCGCGTCTCAGAGATCCAACTCGTTAAATCAATAGTTAGGACAAATAGCTAGACTAAGCGTCAAGAAAAACATTGATAACATCTGTACGGGGGCCCATCCTTTGAGATTTAGATTGGAACACGTTTTACGGCATCAAGCAGGCAAACGATGTAAGTCAATTCAGGCATTTGAGAAGATCTTGGAACTCAACGTTACATTCTGTTTGCATGATGATCTGGTGCTGTACAGGGATCGGATTTATTGTGCATTTGAGATCTCAGCTGCCTCCCCGTGCCGCCATTTGATTGTAATATATACTGATTAAATATATCGTACATACCCGTTACTGCATTGCAACCCTAATTGCCATGTACATCTGGCCCTTGTAAATGTCGTGACCCTTTGAGCTTATTTCTCGGAACATGTGCCTCTCGCGTGGCCTGATCGGTGATCACAAGCGAACTCCAATACGAGAGCGATAACGAAAGGATCATGTCATCTCGGAAACGCCAGAATAGACAAAGAAGTGCGAAGTTACGCGTATTTGAAGATTTTCTCCTCCAATAACGACGCATTACGGCCCATACACGTATTTATCCCAGCTTGAGCTCGGGTTCGTTCAGATATTCCCCAGACCAGATGTTTATAACCCGAGCAGCCCCTATGTAACCTAAGGATTTCTTTCCTGTAGATAATCTTGATGCTCTAGAATTTAATCATTTGAGCCTCATCATTAATGTTTTGACTAATATCTTTTAATCTGGCTCATTGCAGCAGCGGTTATCACAATCATGGCAGCAGATCCGCAGCCCAAGCCCACAGCCTCGGCTGGTAATTCTTTACTTTGTATGTTCTTGAAAAATGACACACTCTGCTTTCTTCAATCTTAAACAAAGAAATTCACTAATTCGTCTACCTGAAAAGCTACCATCAGAGGCGATGACGATAAATCCAGCACGGGGGCGAAGCCGGACGAGGCTCTAAGCGACATAGACACAAACCCGCCAGCCGCAACAACGAAAACGAACGAAGGGGATGACAGCGCGCAGGCATCCTCGAGTCCGTCTCAAGAAAACACGGATCTAGAAAAAGGGCGCGAGAAAGCAACCGACTCCACGAACGAAAAGGAAATTGAGTCTGCCTCAGTTGACGGCAATATCGTGTTTTGGGATGGACCTGATGATCCCGAGAACCCTCTCAATTGGCCCAACTGGGTGAAATGGAGCAACTGCGCTCTGATAAGCCTCCTCACCTTCGTCGAGCCTCTCGCCTCCTCCATCTTTGCGCCAGGAGTTCCCCTGGTACTGCAGGAGTTCGGCACCACAAACACAGAGCTCGCCGCCTTCGTCGTCTCCGTATACGTCCTCGGCTTCGCCTTCGGGCCCATGGTGCTGGCCCCCCTCTCAGAAATGGTCGGTCGCGTCCCCGTCTACCACGTCTGCAACGTCTTCTTCCTCGCCTTCACCATCGCCTGCGCCAAGGCCCCGTCCATGGGGGCACTCATCGTGTTCCGCTTCCTTGCGGGTACGTTTGGCGCCGCGCCCATGACGAACGGCGGTGGGAGCATTGCCGACATGTTCACCCCCGAGCAGCGCGCTGGCGTCATGGCCGTCTTCACTGTTGGTCCTCTGATCGGTCCCATCATTGGCCCCGTCATCGGGGGGTTCCTCACCGAGTCCAAGGGTTGGCGGTGGGACTTTTGGCTCATCACCATTGTTGCGGGTGCTATTACTATTGCCATGGCCGCTCTCATGCGCGAGAGCTATGCGCCCATTGTGCTGTCTCGCAAGGCGGCCCGTTTGAGGAAAGAAACAGGGAATCTCAATCTGCGTTCCAAGATGGATGGTGGGAGAACCAAGGCCGAGTTATTCAAGCACTCTATCATACGGCCCTCCAAGATGCTGATATTCTCTCCGCTGTGCGCGATCTTCGCTATTTACCTAGGTCTCTGCTATGGATATCTCTACCTTCTCTTTACCTCTGTCACCTTTGTATTTGAAAGCACTTATCACTTTTCCACGAATACAGTTGGCTTGGTATATCTGGGTCTGGGCGTCGGCTGTATCATTGGCATGGGTATCTTTGCTTGGGATGCTCAAAGGGAGGTCAAACGCTCAATCGAAAACGGCGGCCTAAAGCCCGAGGTCCGTCTGAAGATCCTTCCATACGGTGCACTCATCTTCCCGATTGGCTTCTTCATCTACGGCTGGACAGCACACCATGTAACGCACTGGATAGGCCCCATCATAGGCCTGGTCATCATCGGCATTGGTAAGTCAGAGAAATATCGAAAAATAACCTCACTCAGGTCGTCTGAGTAATGCTAACCCTCTCTCAAGCCAATCTCATCTGCTTCATGACGATTTGCGTCTACCTAGTTGACTCTTTCGAAACATACTCGGCCTCCGCTCTTGCATCGAACACCATCATTCGATCGTTTGCTGGTGCCCTTCTCCCACTCTGTGGGCTCAAGATGTACGACAAACTTGGATTGGGATGGGGCAATACGATGCTTGGTTTGATTGCCGTTCCTCTCATTCCTGTCTCATTTCTGATCAAACGATATGGCGAGAAGCTTCGTACCAAGTACGAAATTAAGAACCTGTAAGAGATTAAAGTCATTTTGCATTAGACACGGCGCCTGTACATATAAAGTCTGTCCATCCTATCAATTTGCGCCGTTCTTTTTGGGTACATGGGCAATTAGATTATAGATTCTCCTCGTTTACAATAACATGCATCATTATTCGACCACAGCGAAGGTTCATCGGCCTTCAAATGACCTGCGTTCTTCATCAGGTTTCCCACGGTGGGATGCCTGTTAAACTGGGGAAGGGGAAATTTTATATTCAATTAAATGACTGCATGGATAATCTCTCACAGCAAGCACTCTACCATGTTTTCTGTTCAGGGTCCATCTCCTTTCGCCCCTCACCCAACATCTTCAATTTCGATCTACAATATCCCCGATTGTATTTAACTTATGTCAAGCTTTCAATTATTGCCTCCTCACCTTCGTCCATTTTCAAGCA